GTTTGTCAAGCTGATCCTTTAAGTTTTGAGCTTCCTCTCCTAGCTGATCCTTTATGTTTTGAGCTTCCTCTCCTAGCTGATCCTTTATGTTTTGAACTTCCTCTCGGACTTCTTGTCGCAGAGATGTTACGGCTTCTTTAGTTGCAGCTATTACTTTACCCCCCAGCTGATCTTTGATATATTTAGCTTCCTCTTGAAACTCTTGTCGTAGAGATTGTACCTCTTCAGTGGCGGCTTTCATTTCCCCTCCAAGCTGATCTTTAATATCTTTAGCTTCTTCTCTAAGTTCTCGCCTCAAGAACTGTACTTCTTCAGTTGTCGTTTTTACTTCATCTCCAAGCTGATCTTTGATGTTCTGGACTTCTTGTCTTACACACTGAGCATCTTTTCTTGTAGTTTTTAGTTCCTCTTCAAGCTGATTTTTAATGCCTTGGGCTTCCTCGTGAAAAGTCGTCTCCAAAGTTTTTCCTTTCTCCTCTATTGTATTTTGGACGTCCTGGATAGAAGAGTTGAGCTTTACCACTAATTCCTTTATTTCTATATCGTTTCTATACCAGTGTAGTAATTCCTTTACATTTCTGTCATCCTCCGCAGTGAGAGGATCATTCAAAAGTTTATCAATGGCATCCTCCCACTCAGTTCCCTTTGTTGAGCTAATTGATCTAGCAATTCTCAATAGAGCCTCTCTGATTTCTTGCCAGAGTAATTGAAACTCTTCATCTCTGATCTCCATGCGTTGATTCACATGACCGTACACGGTGTTTCGATAATATTTGATTCTCGCTAAATCCGCAGCTAAACTGTGGTCTGTACTTGCCGGTAGATCGTCCCATCCCGAGGCTGTAGGATGGAGGTTGCATATTGTCCGTAGCAACTTAAAGAGCAGAGTCACATCGAAATCTTCTGATTTGCCATACGTCCCTGGGGAGGGGTAAAGACAATCCCACTGTGGTTTGGTGATCCTTGCTGCTGCGAGCTGGCTTTTTATAGCCGGATCATTTAATATTGTGGGGAGGTCTTTTGGTGGATGTATCTTGTCGAAAATTTCTCGTAGTATCATCGTTCCTCCGCAGATCAGCAGTCGTGCTGCACGTTGGAAATTCGTTTTCTCAGGAGTTGAATCAAGCGCCTTACTGGGGTCTGTGGCGGCTGCCATTTCACCAATGAGATAACTGCAAAAACATAACACCACGTTTGATCCCTCATTAACTAGCAATGGATAGCTATCAACCCTTGACCCAAACCCTTCTCCTTTCTGACAGAGCGACTCCTGTCTTAAATGAGTGTTAACTTTGAAAACTTAGCCACACCGTTGTCGTTCTTTAAAAAATCAGGTTTGTTTTCTTCTGCTCTACCGTTTCGCTTTCTGCACCTTACAGCCCGGTGCATACCTGGACTCTGGAATAGAATGATTGTTACACAGTTGTACAGCTTACTCTTTCTTATCTTGCTGGCTCAGTTGAGCTTTTTAATCAAGCTGAGCTAGTTTGCTATGTACAATCATCTTCGATGTTCGCCCGGTTAACATGTTAATGTTTTAATTCAGTACCAAGATGACTCCTCTATCAATCACTTAGTCTTTTCCGTTCACTTTGTTTTAGTTTACAGCAAGATTTAACGACGCTCTTCATTGTATGTTCGATTTTTTTGCGTCATGATTCTCTTAATCCGTGAAAAATTACATCAAGTACCAAAGAAATACCATTAAAACGAAAAAATAGAAAAGAAATGCACTCGTCATAGCAGCCTGTTTCTGTTCTCATTACGTGTATGTTTCATTTTAACTCCTGCGTTTTCAATTCAGTTTTAACCCTGTAGTCCGCAAATATATGCAAAAATACATTTTTACATGTATTAAACATGCATTCAAAAATACTTATGGCAGCCTTCCGTCCCTGGCGGCGATAGATCAATTGCAACGTCTCTCCTGAATCACCAAAGTTATTAACATTTGATGAGACCGTATGATCCCGAATATTTTCTCTTCAGGAGAAATCTGAAAGGAGGCCTTCAACTCCAATGTACAGCGAGAATTTGAAAATATTCTAAACTTTTTCCGGCTTTAATTTGATTTAGAGTCCTCATTATCATTTTTCAAAATCAGCCAGCGTGAACGTGAACACTTATCTAAAAGAGTTCTTGAACTAAAAAGTTTACAAAGTGCAAGCATGTCAAACGTTTCTCTATCTCATCTCCTCAAAGCTGTTAACCAGTAAATCTTCCTTCATATTACATATAATGGGTTTGATTTGATTGTTTTTCAAATTTTTGAGGTGCTGCATGCGACCCCCGCGGTAGTTCTAATCAAATATACGCTTCATTTGCGATGACAACAACTGAGATGCGTCGATTGTCGTAAGAATGCTGGATGAAATTAAGCAGTATATGAGCGCTGAAAGATCTAGGAAATGATAAAAGTAACGCTAAAATATCAGTCTCTTTTTGATGTCGATGCTGAAAAGCCAATTGAAAAATAGGCTTCGTGATGCGTTGGAGAGCAATCGGACAAGGAACGACATTGAAATCTATACTTCACTCTTATTCGGTTATTACTAAAACTGGTACTACATATGATTTGTCTTTTTGAAAGTTCTTAATCGGCAGTTTTTATACATGCACAGTATTTATCACGCTACCTCGATAGAATGCTTGTGATAGCTTCTTCCGGTTTTGGAATTTTTGGGAACATTTAATCAAATCGATTTTCATCCTGTATTGTCAAATAATACACACTATTTCACTATTTGCGCAGAGTGTTCATGTACTCACCATTTGCAGTTTCAGGAACTAGCCATGATTGCACTGCTAGTTTAAAACAGAGGAGCCCCAAAATGAGAATTGTGATGAAGCAAGCGGAAGTCGGCTACGGGGTTTCCCATCAATCAATGGAGCTTGCAGTAGAGAAATGTAGGCAAGCAATGCGTGCATGCATAGTTTCCTCCCTCTCTTTCTCATTCATTCTGCATCATTTCAACTGTATTTCATTTATCACATATGATTTATTATTTTTTACCAACTCGCGCTTTAATTTGGAATGCAAATAAAGATCACCTTCTAGTGAAGATTTTTTTTATGGATTTTTAGCGAAAAGAAAAAGATTTAGCGCCAATAGGGATAAAAAATTTAGATCTAATTCATTATTCAACAATTATACACTTATCATCTATTAACATACGACCATTAAGCCTTTGAAGACTTATTTTTTAAAATAAACTCATCATTTTTGTGTCTTTTTCTCTTGAAGAGATGCTGCGGGTTTTTGCGTAATTTGTGCATGAAGAATTTACAGCTGTGCATCTGTATTTAGGCGAAGACGTTATGCGGTAGCTGGAACAGGATTGCGTATTAAAGATATATTGCTAACGCGAGAAAGCTCCAACAGTGAACGTTGATTTCAACTCTAACACCCAGAACTGTGTAATGAGATTTAAGGGAGAAGATGACTTGTTTTTATTTATAAAGAGAGTTTAAACCATTTATTTTGCGTCTACAAAGCTATACGTTGTTTTGGAAGTTTAATACGATTACGGCAAAAACAAAACGATGGTCTGAACTCTCGCAAGCATATCGATTGTTGTATAATGCACCGACTAGCTATTTAGATTCACATGGTTCATTTTTATATTTTAAATCTAACAATTACATCAGTTAACTGTTTTTCTATTCGGCGTCTGAGTCACCATAGGACGCCTTTTCATTTACTCTCAAATCAGCTCGGAAATTTTTCACTACTAAAAAAGTAAACTAGGAGCAGTCCCCCCCTTTTCGGCAGAGTGCGTCACGCGAGTCAGAAAAAAAAATTTGGTAAAAAAAAAATTGACGTAAGCGCCCCAAGGGAAGCTCTGGGTGAGGCACTTGAAAAGTAGGCCTCACTCCCAGGGCTCCCCACGACGCGCTAACATCAACTTTTTTTTTCACTAATTTTTTTTTACTTGCGCGATGGACTTCGCGATTCAGCAAACGTCCACCACTTTTCACCTCCACTTTTCACCTCCACTTTAGTTAATTATCGTTAATCATAATATTGTAAAGAATATTATTTAAATGGAATAAAACTACTCTTATCGAAAAAGTTCATCCAAATGCGCTATTTTGTCTTTTAACTTAGTGTGTCGCTTGGCTCCCGATAATTTCCTCGGCTTTCGTTTATCAGATAGTTACTAGCCTTTAGGCCGCGGACGAAAACAATTTTTTTCTTTGACGTTCGTAAGTTTGTCGTGATGCCCATTGAAAATGTAAGACGAGTTTCGATGGCCTTATGTAAAATAAACTGCCTCTCCTTGTCGCCAGTTCTTTGCCACTAATTAAACTTACTCTGCCATGAATAAGGCTTACTCATCAGAAGCTTTTTTGGTGTTGCATTGTCTTGTGCTTCAGTCATACAGAGGCCGTTTGCTGCAAACCGACCCTGTTACCACTCAGGCTATTTGGACGAAGCTCTTCCTTCTTATAGCAAACACAAGGTTATATTTTTATTGCTTCATGGCGAAATCTTGGGCAACGAAAAGCATAAATAACGGGATTCACCGTCAAACCGATGAGAGCAAGCAATAAAGAGATCAGCTCGTAGTTTGTTATCCGTTCTTTTCTCGCCAACTGTTTCGCGATTGGCTTTTAATGTAACAGTAAGGATAATGAAAAGTTTGGTCAGTTTGCGGCGCGATTTTAAGAGTGCTGTGTTCGTGGCTTTATTCTCCTCAGCATTAAACCACACATGATAAATCACATGCGAGTAACAGTAGATAAAAACAGTACTTGGTATAACAAGACAGATTGCTAGTAAAAAAAAAATGCGTAGGCAATATGAACAGTTTCGATATCAGTGGGTGATGAATCTTCCGTTGTCGTGGTAACATTATTACAAACATATCTGACCCGAAACATCTTTGAATCGATGATCGATGCTCCCATACCTAAAATTATGACTTAAAACCATATTTTGAGAGTAACTTTCCACATCAGAGACTTGCCCACTTTTTTCATGTGCACAAAAGATTTAAGAATCAAATAGTATCTCTCCGCTGCCAACACAACAAGAAAAAGACTAGACCCCAAAGCATTCTAAACAAACTGGAAGTGAGAAAAGTAAGGCATACTGTAGCAAATAGGAAATATTTCCACGAAAGAGGATGTGGAAAAAGTAAATACGAGTAGGCCAGCTGGCCTATCAGCCACGTATTCAAATTTAAAAGTTTCCAGCGCCTGAAAATGATAACAAGGACGAGGAAATTCCCAAAAATGATGAATAGAATCATCAAGAGGAGCGGAAAGCACAGAAATAGCCAAATTTAAATCCTCCATTGCAGAACAACTGCAAAATATCTGAAACGAAATAAAAGCAACATGAAAATCTTTTGCGATCCTGAATTGCAGGGCAGTTTACCCAGATAAGCAAGACTCAACAACACGAGAAATGCCTTCGTTTAAGTAAAGTTCTGTCTAAATTTTAATTTGGCATGGTCGCAGTATATAACTAATATAATAAGGTATACTCCTGTTTTTTAAATCTATCAACAATTTGTGCTTTAAGTTTTTGTAATCAGGAGTATGAGACAGCTTTCCCTACCCTAATAACACAAATGCTATAAGTTTTGATTCAAATTTCATTTGCTAACAAGACAACAGAATAATTAACCTTGCGGCGATCATATTTCAACAAGAATTGGTGTCGTCCAAAAAAAGAAAAGCAAAATAAAAAAACAGTGTATTCATTCAAAATAATTTTTTCATCATGAGAACTCTAGTAATGTATTCTTTCTTCTATTCATTAAAATATTTTTAAGTTTTCCATAACAACTCAGTTTTAAATTTCCTTTCTATTGAGAAAGTAAACACATGACTGTTTTTACCCTCAGCTAAATTAATTCATCTTCCAAATGAGAGTGATATATAAACAATTTCAGGCGGCTGAAGAGACCAATTTAGCCCTTTATTGACTTGGATATGGTATGGGTGGTCTTTTAAAAGTAAATAGAGTAACTCGCTGAGGCAGATACTCTCTTTAAAACTTTGACAGAATCGTCCGTCCAAACTTAAAAACTGTATTTCAAATGCATCGATGAACAGTTCGAAGTAGTGCATGCGGAGAGTATATGCGCTTTTGCTAAAAGTTGTGATCATTTTAATTCGGCATTAAACTTGGAGAAAGCATTAGCGGTAGATGGTAGATTCGCTGGTTCATTCTGATAATAATGATATTTTTCTGGAATAAATAAAATGTTTGAAATTGGAAAAGTTCAAGAATAAACTATAGACAGAAAACCGTTTGACGATTGGTCTCCCAAATGTTGGAGTCCAAGTAATTATGAATGTTGTAGTGAAGATGACGAAAAGATTTGTTGGTTTCCAACGTGATTTGAAGAGAGCAAGGTTTGTAGTTTTGTCTTCCAATTTGAACCATACGCGATCATTACCCGTGAGTAACAGAAAATCACTGCCATATTCGGTAGAATTGACCACACGCAAGAAGGACGAATGTGTAGTGTAGTGTTAATAGTTTCTGATACACCTAGCGCATTGCTTGTGCAGCTAATCGAAGCATTATTCGAAGAATACTTAATCGCAGCAGTCCAATGATGAGTTGTCATTCCCACAGAACCTAAAAATGCCAACAGTAATCCATATCGGTAACCTTATTCAAAAGTGATGTTTGCTTTTTTCAGGTGCACGAATGGTCTTAAATTTGGATAGTACCTCTCCGCCGCCGGAGCAACCCGAAAGTAACTTGGGTCCAAGGCATGTACAAGGTATTGGATAGAGGAATATGGAATGCTGAACACGAGCAAAATTATATCCACGAAAGTGTAAAGAGAGCAAAATAGATCGGACCAAGCAAGTTGGGGTATGAGGTACGCGTTTCCTACACTTTTACGAGATAAGGCCTCCAAAGTTTATATTTAGAATGTTAACGGGGCTCGTACGCACTAAAGCGCGTACGCGGATCCCCCTTTTCAAGAGAATATGTAAAACCATCAGGTCAAGATTAGTTGCGTTCGCGTTAGTTATGGCTTTCCGTTCAGCTGCCCGCAAAACTATATTCCAACGCGGGAAAAGCTGTTTAGGGGTGACACATAGAGGCAGTGCCCATAGGGAGTAGCTGAGATGCGTGTTTTATGAATTTTGAGTTCTCTTTAAACCCGCCTCCTCAAAGTCAAACTTAAATCATTTTCTTCTTTCGATATAGCGATAGTTTTAGCTCTTGCCTTACAAGTTCGGCTTATTTGAGAAACAAATGATGGGTAGCAAGGATTAAATAACGGGCTGATTCTGTACATAATTTTACTTCTGAAATGACGTATGTATTAATGTCTTCAGTTCCTCGTCGCTATGGGAATTGCACAACTTTTTTGAATCAATCGCCTTAGAACACCAGGGAAATGAAGCGCCGTCCTAAATCTAATTTTGACCGATTGCTGTCCAAACCCAAAATGAAATTTTTTTGTTTTGTTTGTCTATCTCTGAGTTATATGTAATTATATGTAGTTCTGAGAAATATTTACTCTGCTGTTTATGGTTTTCCACGAAAATTTCAATGGTTGACTTCCTGTCCACAGAACAAAGTAGGTTGGTGTTTGCACTCCAAAAAACTTAAGTGGTCTTCCATGTAAGAGAATGAAATTAGACAGCTGATCTATTACAATCGAACACTTGTTTCCCATTTTACCTTTATCAAGGAACTTTAACACAGGCTAAATTGGAAAAAATTAACCCTGCTCCAAACATGCAAAATTCATTAACACCATCTCATTCCTCTCTCTCTCCGGCAGCGAAGAATTCTTGCGCTGTCGCATCGACGTTTTCCTAAAAGAACGCAACGTAAAGAATTAAAATTTTGACTCTCTTCACCTGTTTTTTTACTTAATGAAAACCGTGAAAAAGTACGCAAGTGCAAGTAATGTCAAAAAAACTGTTCAAATGCTTTTCAATTCCAAAACAAACAAATTTGAATAATAGCTTTTATTTTAATTTTCAGTCAATAATTTTTAAAGTTGTAAAGAAGGTCGCTATTTATTGAGACACGTGGAAATTAAATAAATTACGAAGAGTCAAATAACTCTTGCCTACTTTTATTCAGTAAATTCTGTTACCTGGACGATAAGCAATGTAAAGATATCATAATCACATATATTTTCATAGTTTTACAACAAATTTGGAAATGGTGTAGTTAAATGGCGGGAAAGCACAGATCAAGCCAAACCTCGATTTCTTAATTCACGCAGAGAGAGAAATGAACTTCTCTTTGTTAGAGGCTTCCAAAAGGTTATCCCCACAGAGAGAGGCAGCAAGACGACATCAATCATATCTCCTAAACCTCATAGAGTGAACTCTTCGTTTCCGGATAAGATTATTTGTTTTTAATTCAAATTGAAATCCCTTGTTAGCAGAGAGAACATCCAATCAACAAATACAGTGTGATAACTTGTCTGTCCTCTAATCTACATTGTAAACCAATGAATAACTTAGTCCACCTGATCTCGAGATTAAAGTCTGATCACGAAAGACTGATATCATATTCAAGGTCAATTCTTGTTATCGCCTAATCTCTATATTCAGTTCTGTTAATGGCCTTGTGATCTATTAGCATAGAGCATCTATTGTCTTAAAAGAGTCCATCATGAGAAACAAGAAAAATCGAAGCTGTGAAATTAATTTGGCATGTGGATTGATTGTCAAAAATGCCTTTATGGTATGAAATGACTTTCCAAATTATTCTCGACTTCAATCTATTTATTTGTTTAATGCTAAAAGTAAACTTAATTTAATCCTCAGTGGTGCAGCTCTGATCCACACTTGAAAAGGAGCGGAAGAGCCTTTCTTCAACGCCACAGTCAAGAAGTCAAGTAGTCTTCCCGAGCTTTTGGCTGTCAGCCATGAACGAAGAAATTCGTCTATTGGCAGGGTTTGTTTCGCTGCCAATCTTCATTTGCAATGTAATTGGAAATGCACTCGTCATTGCAGTTGTTAAAATGAACAAAAAGATGCAATGTCCAAATACCTACCTGCTGTCCTGGCTCGCTCTGAGCGACTTGAGTTTTGGATTCATCGCCGAAACAAACATCTATTTATTAGCAAATGGCGCCAAGGGCCGTCTGTATGGAACATATATGTTTCACACTTTGCATTCGATTCTTATTTTGACTCTGCTTTCGATCGAAAGATACCTTGCGATTTTAAAGCCATTTTACTACAAAGCTAAGGTTACCAAATCTCTCGTAGCAAAACTCCTGTGGATAATATTGGCCTTCACTGCAATCGTTACTGCACCAAGTTACTATCTACTGGGAAACGGTTATAACATGCTGGAAGTTTGTGCAAAATCGAAGTTAGACGAAATTGCCACTATAGGTTATTTAGCCGCGCTTCTGATGATCTCGATAACAGTTCCTGGCGTTGTCATGTGTTCTTGCTACACCAGAATAATAAAACATGTCTGGTTTAGCGACGAGGCCAAAAATGCAAAGAACAAAGCCCTTTTGAGATCTCGGTGGAAATTGACCAAGATTTTCATAGCCGCGACAATAGTTTTCGCCGTTAGTTGGTCGCCATCTTTTGGAAAGCTTTCTGCCAAAAGCTTTCGATGCAGCGAACGTTTTGTACTTTACGAAGCAATCTATATTTTGTTAGCGCTGTTAGGATCCACGGCTAATCCCATAATGTATTCGTTTCGTTGTTCAGGATTCAGACAAGCGGTGAAGGAGTTGTTCAGCAAAAAGTGCTGCAGAAAACATCGTATCAACTCGAGAAAATCAATGCCAGACAGTGTCACAGGCAGGAGACCGCGTTGTGACCAAACAAGGCAAAGTGACGTGATACTTCTTAGTGTTCGAAAGACATAGCTACAAACGCACGCGCGAAATAATTGCAGTAAAATTGTCAAAACCGTGACCCTAAACCAGAAGGTTACAAGAGGAGCGTGGATAGGCAACTTCCCATGCCTTCTCCAGTTATGACAAGGTTTGTCGATTCGCAGCTAATAAAGTGTACAGAAGACCATAACATTCCTAGAACTTAGGATTTGCGATAACACAAACTTCAAAACATAACACAATTTTCGTCACAGTCTCTAAAAATATCTAGTCAAAAATTAGATGGATTTGGTGATGGTACATTTGTGTTTGATGGACTGTTCAGCTCTTAACAGTGGCTGTGATAAACAATTTATTTCTCTTAGCAATACCACTACATAGTCAAAGTTCAAGTCATGAGATTAATTACATCGATCCATCTGTAGGAGCATTAAAATGCAGTTCCGTTAGTAAAGACAAGCTCTTCTTCGCTAGGAATATTCAGATGCAGTCCAGTAGAGAGAGTGCTGTTGATGATCTTAAAAAACACATCTGCACCATTTCAGGTTTGCTTTCTCTGTTACATCAATGGTTATTTGAACTTTTTTATGTATGTATTTACTTGCCGAAGTCACATCAGCAGGTTGCTTTAATCCTCAAGGTAAAAATAGTTGCCAGTCCTTTTCTGTTCACAGTCCTGTAAATGGGAGAATATTTCTGGCTTGTAAGTCCGATCACTTTGCTGTAAGCTAGGGTACAGCAACTACATTGTTTTTCTCTAGGACTTTGAGATAATTTATCCTTTACTTTTAAGCCATGTTCATACAGAGGGCTATAATTCAGTTAAGGTTGGCGAAATGGAGGGCTTTGCCATTTGAAGAAACCGAGCACAAATATTAACTGGTTATGCGAAATCCGTTGTACCTTTCGTCTTTCCTTGCCTTTTTGGCGTTTCTCTACCCTGGCAAATGACTATATTTAAGTTCTCAGTTCTCTACGACGCTTCAACTGAAATGACTTAAATATCGCATCATCACTCCTTGTCACTAGTTTACCTTGACAGAATTCATCTTGTTGATTCGAGGCCGGAAGTTAGTCGGGTCGCGCCGGAAGGTGATCTCCAGGGAATGGAGAAACTTGTTCATACCGGTAAGAAGTGTCTGAGGACTGGAAAACGAATATATAGAAATATCAACTGGTGTAGAAAATTTTCTTAATTCTCTCGAATATTATCTCAATACCTTGAACTACACGTATACAAACATCGTTTCAAATAACATCAATGTAAAGCAAGATGAAAGTGGTTGCAAGGAAACTATCAGATAATATAAAAACTTTCTTGTTTAAATCCTAGCAGCAAAATGGTTTCTTGATTGAGAATCAGTTTAAGGGTCATGGGTTTTATTCCTAGCTGTGAGAATTGTCACTTATAGAATCATTTGAAAGTTTTGAGGTCGCATAGAGAGTCCACCACGTAATTTTTAACATTCTAGACCTAAGACAGATTATGATAAAAAAAAATGTTTACCTATTTGCAAGAGTCTTGACGGAAGGTTCGCCTTCAAACACTACCACTCGGTCAGCAAGATACGTAGCCATAATGAAGTCGTGCTCCACAACAAAACCAGTCTTCTTGGCGTGCAGAATGAATCTAAAGCACACCGAAAAAGTCAAATTGAAATCAAAGAAATAAGTAACAACTTTGCTGATGCTGTCATTCGATAAATATGTTAAACAATAGGTAAGAAATAAATGGAAACTGAAAAATAACCACCATAACGAGGTGGATATGAATGGCAGGTATTTACTGGGCGAACAATTGTTTCAGAATATACCACACAGTAACCAAGAAAATACTTAATTTCTTTCCATGTACAGAAGAATGGTCACAAATCGAACTCTTGGCGCACGTCTTGCCCGTGGGAAACCCAAGACACTCACCGTTTAATGACTTTGGCGGCCACAAGACGCTGTTCAGAGTCCAAGTATGCCGAAGGCTCATCAATTAAATAAACGTCCGCTGGCTGAAAAACAAAACCGTAAACAAAACCGCACAGTTCTCTAGTTGATATCTAGCTCAGGTTTTCAGCTAAGTATGTCCTGTTCAGATTAGAACTCAGTTACTATCAGACAATGAAAAAATATCTCTATAGCAAAAATGTTAAAATGACTTACCACATGCGTGGCAAAATTACCGAATGCTGATTGGCTGAGACAGAGGGCATTTTTGGTAATCTAGAGGGCTTGATTATTTGACGCTGATTGAGCTTTTTCGCTGTTTACAGCAACGATTTATTGATTGCAATTTAACTGAAAGAAGCCGTGTAAGTTTTTCAACTGTATTTTGAGAATAAAATATTTATTGAATCTATTGGTCAGTTACGTTTGTTTTGACATTTGTGGCGGCATTGAAAGGGCTTCATCGCGAGGACATCGTGCGCGAATGCAATTCCCTCAGAAATTTTGCCCTTTATACGATAAACAAGTAATCGCAAGTGCCCTCTGGCAAGTAAGGATTAATTCATTTGTATGGATACGCGTCAAGTTAATCCTTAATTGCCTTCGGACCCATGCGATTACACATACAAACAGAGTAGGGATGTACCTTTCCAAGACAAAGCGTTAGCGCGACGCGTTGAAGTTCACCTCCAGACAAGTTTTGAACCTGAAAAGGAAACATAACAGAGGTACGTTTAGAGGATTATGAAACCACAACATACATGTAAAAAAGAAACAGATTAGTAATTAAAACGAATGATCCAAACAAAGATGAAATTCATAAGTAGCAAAAAAGAACTCAAGGTAAGCTACCGATCAAAGTGGAAAGGAAATCGAGAACAATCAAGTCGCACTTGGTTCCAGTTTTGCATCGGATTGGCTGAAAGACTGGTGCGAGTTCTCCAGATGATACAGCAAAACGGATTCAGAGAATGCCGAAATTTAATTCAAAATTGCTCCGACAAACTAAATGCTCTCGTTCTGAAAAAGGCCTTGGGAGAAAAAAATGAATCTAATGTCCCACATGACACACCTCCTGGTCCATGATTTGTTCGATCTGTAGAGGCTTGATGACGTCAGCGATGAACTGAGGATGCACATAAGCGTCACGGATCTTTTCGTGTAGGAGCATGCGCACGGTGTTCTGTGGCGAGTAAATAGAAAAGGAAAGGTAACGTAGGTAACACGAGGCAAGGGACGCTAGCGCAATCTCCTTTCCAGTGCTTCATTCTTTTCTGAAGCACTATCGATCACGAGGCTCTGGGAACGAGACTGACGCCGGTGGGCAGACATATCGAGTAACTCGCGTCTCTGCTCTGCCTTTCTTTACTCAGCAAAAGAGTTTCTTTTTCCTTTCTTTAGGGCGACAAAGAAACAGAAAAGGAAAAAATTACCTGTGACTTTGGGCTGATCTTTTGTGGTTTATAGCTGATATTCATCATGGGAACTTGTTCTGTGAAAAAGAATACGAACACAGTTTTTGTGATCATTCATATAGGCAAAGAAAGATGATGAATTTTAAGCTCGGTCAGTTTGCGATAAACAGGCCCCTCGACCTAACTTGTGAATGAGTTTCCTGCAGTGTGATAGTAGAGTATCTGAATGCAAACTTCGCCCAAGTTCGACTCCGCTTGGGTGACTAAATTTTTTTTGTCTCATGCATGCGGCAAATGAATAATCTGTTTCTTTAACCATATACACCTTTTAACATATACTTGAAGGAACAGAGTACTTACCATTACCATCGGACGGGAGTTTCCCAGCCAACATGCGGATGAAAGTTGTCTTACCGGTTCCTACAATATAAAGAATCTCGCATCAGTTATAAACAGACATGGTTCAGAGAATTGAATGCTTGTAACTATAACACTCAGATAACCAAAGTGCAAGGTTTATGCGACAATTATGTAACCCTAAAAATCTACAATGACGACATGCAGTTCAAGTTACATGTAGAACACAGCGTGATAATGATCATGATGATGGCGACGACGACGACGACGACGCTGACGAAGTTGATGGTGACAAAAAATTGTTTAACAAGCTGATTTGTACACGCATTTTGATAGGTTATTACTAATAATCTAGTGGCCCCGGTTGTTTGAAGATCGGATAACGCTATCCACTGGATAAATCTCTATCCGGTGGATAACGCTATACGTTTTGCTATAACTTATACGCTGGATACGGACTTATCCATTGGATGGCGTTGTCAATCCCTTTATACAACTGGGCCCTGGAGGACAGTCGCATAGATGACATCATCACCAACGGTTCATTTAAAACAAATAGATACCATGTTGCCGTGGATCTGTACAGCAGTAGAGCACAGAAGACGTCAAGAGTGTGGCTATAAAATCAGTGACACACTCAGCTGCGTCTTGTGTGCCACGTTTTTGTCCTTGCCACATTTTGACATAAGCTGTGATCTATTACCGAACAGACACACGGCAACAAGGAATCTATTTGTTAACCCTTTAAATCTCAAGATCTCATGAGTAATTCTCCTTACTGTCTACCATTGGATCAACTTATAATCCCCTCACTGATATTTTCTTTATTCTCATCACTTGTCTGCTTAATATTGTATTGATGTTGAAAGGAGAAATTGTGTCTTGGTCACTCATGGGAGTTAAAGGGTTAACTGGGTGATGATTACTACGAAGACAACTGAGGCAATAGTGGCAACAGTGATGTCACATAGTGTGGAAACTGCAGTTGAACAAGAACTACTAATTTTTCCCTTGGGTTGAGCAACTATGTCAAAAGTCTTTCTGGGAAGGGAGACAGTTACACAAATGATGGGCTGACCTGTAACAAATAAATAAATAAATAAATAAATAAAAGCAATGAGTCGTTACCATTCTCTCCCAGCATAACAATGATTTCAGAATCTGTGAATTCTCCAGTATCAATAGTCAAATGGAACTCCTCTGTGGAAGTAAAGAGATCAATTCAGCAATTCATTCACACTAATTTGGATGCTTGCAGTTCCTCAGATACAGATCCTTCTTTTCTCTACCATCGTTTGCGGTCATCTTTCAGCCTATGTAAATTTTAATTCCTTATGATGAAGACCCTACATGCACCCAACCTCCACACATACTTAGCTGTTTTTCCATCTTAGGATATTTGTATCTCAACATTTTCTTCACTTCTTCCTCCTGTCACATGAAAAATAAAATGACAGCCAACATTTTAACTCAACTATTAATTCTACTATGGACAACAGCCCAGGATAAGTTCTGATAGCATGGGGTGAAATTCACTCAGGTGATTTATTCATCATTTTAAGTCCATATTCTTGACAACAAATTTTTATGTTGTTTTAACCCTTTACACTCTAACATCAGTATGTATATTCTCCATACTGTTCTCTATACATTCCCTAGGGTACTGACAAGGAGAATTTGTGTTACAATCAGCAACTTCTTTAGCTGCTGATAATTTTCTTTATTCTCATGACTTTACTGCATGATTTACGGGTGATATTGTAAGGAGAAATTAGATGCTGGTCACT